TCCTTGCACAGTCCCAGGGCTCGAGCACCACAGGCTGTGCAGTGCCTGGAAAAGACTGTGCAGGGTTTGCTCCTCACCCAGCCTGGAGCCCAGCTGATGAGGCCTGTCTGGAACAGCAGGTTCGTTAAATTCAGCCCCCAATGGAGCCAGCCTCGGCCTCCTCAGGCCAGTTTGTCTGCAGCATGTTTTCAGACACCGGACCTGAACTGGGAATAATTTTCTTTGCACCAGTGTTTTATCAGATTACCCCCTCCCCGGGGGTGAAAAGCAGCGAAGGTGAGGTGAGACATCAGCCCTAGAACTGCACTGTTTGCCAGCCAACAGCCCCCGCTGTTTGTGCAGCCAGGGACAGAGGGAGGGATGATACAGCAATCCTGCAGGAGAGAGAATGCTGGGTTTTAAGGCACTCTACAGAATGAGAAGCAGAGAAGAAGAGGACAACTGCCAAGTGAGACCAATTTTTTTTGGGCAGGACTCCAGCATTTGAAGTTACAGGTCCTGAAGGTACAGGAACAGTTAAACTAAATGCTCCAACAGACTGCTATGGAAAGGGTCAACAGACAAGAGAGAAATCCTGCTGGAACTGCTCCTGCTGCCCTCCACATTAACTTCTGCTGGGGAAGGCTCAGCTGAGCAGGGCTGGAGATGTGAAGGGGTAACCACTGAAAGGCACCAGAGAGCCTAATCAGAGTGATCTGGATCCCCTCCTTTCCACACTGAGACAGGTAAAGAGGAAAAATCCACCCCTCTGGCAGCAGGCAATGACTGTATCTAGGTGACCTGTTTATTCTTGCAGCTGGCCAAACATTAGGAGGCAGACAGCATCACTGTGACTATTACTCTTATCGCAGCCGGCTTTGCTACAAGTAATCAACCTCCAGAAATAAGATTTCCACCCTGTGTGTCCAACAGGTCAGATGCAATACTGAGCTCTGTTTGCCCTCAGTGCCTGCTGACAGAGCCTGGCTCCCTTTGGCACAGCAGGGAGCAGCCTCATCCATTACACTGGTACATATCAATAAGGAGGGCAGGGGGGAGAAGTGAAGCTGGATGGATTGCTAACATCAGCTGGTGCTTTCAGAATTAGTGTGTCACTTTGGACTTTGGCTCCTTCCACTTCTTTTTAAAGAGTGTCATTATCAGCAGAGTCACACTTCACCTCTAAAATTTACACAGACAAGAAAGTACCAGCTGACCAGTCAGCAGTTGCTGCGGTTTCCTTATGCCAGCTGATAACAAATAATGAAAATACTGGTGAGGAAAGGAGATACTTCGTGGAATGAGAGATTTTCTTCCTCCTAAGCAAGCCCTGCTGCTCAGGAAGGTGCTGGTCCTTACGCTGTGCTCCTAAAGCTGTGTGTTTCCTGGTGTTGTTCTGGTGCAGGAGGGTTCCCTCTACCCACAGAAAGCACTGTGTGGTATGTCTGCTGCATTCCAGGAACTCATGCCTGGATGGACTTTGTGTGGATGGACAGCAGGAAAAGTGCAGACAGAGATCAGCACGTCATTCACAGCGCGAGGAGGCTGAATCAGACACCCTTAAGGATAACGTCCCTCAGGCTCAGCATACAAATTATCAGCACTAAAGGTAAAGGTCAAGCTGTTTACTTCCAACAAACAACAGTCAAGTCAGTTGTCAGCCCCTGTAAGTGGTAAGAAGTGGGGTTTCTGTGGAGACCTTGGTATAGGTAACCTGGGCAAGCCCAAAAGCCAGATACCCAAAAAACAAAACCAAAACCCAAACCCATGGCCATGAGGTCTTCTGTGCCACCTCAGCAAGTCACCCAGGCTCTCCAGCTCACTGCTCCTTCCCCTGGAGAAGAAACATAAGCTTTGAGGCCTTTCCTGCCCTGCAGAGTTGAGGTAGCTGGGGTGACCCTGAGGGGTGCCAGCTTGGACACACTGGACTCCAACCCCTCTGGGAGAAGGGACCAAGGAACACCAGTTGATGTGATCTCACCCTCCCACAGTGCTGTAACACAAGGGAGTCACACGGCCACCACCACTAAGTCTTAATGTATAACCACAATTTTTATGTAAAGCATAAAATCTAAAGTACAGCAAACCTCCTAGTTTTCAATGTGGACTTACGTTTGGTTCAGAAATACTGATTTACTACTTGGAGTAGCTTAATTCATTAAATTAAGCAAAGTCATCTAGGAGAGCAAAACATCTGCTCTGGAAGGAAAGCATCCACACAGCAGCTCTTCCCAGATAAGTGTTTGGAAACACCACAGGAACTGACAAGCCACATGAAATCACGCCAGACCAGCAAGGCAGACTGCAACGACTTGATTAAATTCAGACGTCAATTTTTTACATTAGAGGTTCAGCCACACCAACAGATATATAGCACTAGTGGAACAGATTTTCAAAATTTAGCTTTTTTAGGGACATCCATTTAAATCAGATACTCCTGGAGTCGATCCCTAAACAAAGCCTTATTGAAAGCTCTCTTACACTTCACAGGACAAAGATCAGGTTCCAGTTTGACAGACTGGCCAAAAAGGAGCAAAGGAGGGGGGGGTGAAGGGTGTTTAACAGAAGGAGAATCAAGAAAAAGCTTTTGCAGACAAACACGAAGTTACAGCCCTGACTTTATTTTGCACACGTTAATAAAGGTGTGTAAAACAAACATGTGCCATCCAGAGGGACCTGGACAGAGAGGTGGGTCTGTGTGAACCTCGTGAAGTCCAAGACAGCCAAGTGCAAGGTCCTGTACCTGGCTCGGGGCAGTCCCAAGCACAAACACAGGCTGGACAGAGAAGGGATTGAAAGCAGCCCTGAGGAGAAGGACCTGGGGGTGCTGGTGGATGAGAAGCTCAATTTGGCCCAGCCACGTGCCCTGGGCTGATCCCACAGCGTGGGCAGCAGGGGAGGGGGGGATTCTGCCCCTCTGCCCCCTCAGGTGAGATCCCCCTGCAGAGCTGCCTCCAGCCCTGAGGAACAACAGCACAAGGATGTGGAGCTGCTGGAGAGAGTCCAGAGGAGGCCATGGAGATGCTCCAAGAGCCAAAGCCCCTCTGCTCTGGAGCCAGGCTGGGAGAGCTGGGGGGGGTTCACCTGGAGAAGAGAAGGCTCCAGGGAGACCTCAGAGCCCCTTCTGGTGCCTAAAGGAGCTCCAGGAGAGCTGGAGAGGGACTGGGGACAAGGGCCTAGAGGGATAGGACAAGGGGGAATGGCTTCCCACTGCCAGAGGGCAGGGTTAGGTGGGATACTGGGAAGAAATTCTTCCCTGTGAGGGTGGTGAAGCCCTGGCACAGGTTGCCAAGAGAAGCTGTGGTTGCCTCATCCCTGGAAGTGTCCAAGGCCAGGTTGGACGGGGCTTGGAGCAACCTGGGCTGGTGGAAGGTGTCCCTGCCCATGGCAGGAGGGTCAGAACTGAATGGTCTTTGAAGCTTGGAACAAGATGAGCTTTAAGTCCCTTCCAACCCCAACTATTCTGATTCTATGACTTTTTTACATCCACTTCAGCAAAAGCAGTGCAAATTAGAGGCTCCCAAGGTGGCTTCAGAGACCACCCATGGCTACAGGAAAGCAGTTCAAGGCCAAGACTTACCAGAAGATTTTTGGTTTGTGGGTTAGAGCGCTGTTTCTGCAGAACTGCAGTTGTGTTTGCTCAGGTTTAACAATAAAACCATCCCTCCTGCAGCACAAGCCTGGGCTCTCAGGGAAAGACACACTCAAACACTCGGCTACTTCTCCTCTCCAATTTCCCAGCCCAGTCCTTTGTGCTGCTCCACAGGTTTGTGGGCAGAGCAGAGGACATTCAGTGTCACCAGTTCCCTGATCCAGTTTGAGATGAGATCCTTCAAGCCTCCAAGGCAGCAGACCCCGCTCAAAGTCAGACTGTCCAAGGTAACAATCCCAGTCTCCCTTCAGCTTCTGCCCTTTTTGTGGCTATAGCAGCAAAGCAACACTGACACTTACCAAAGATGTTCAACATGGGAGACCAGGAGTTTTTCCCCTGCCCAGTACTGAGAAATGTCTCTTAGCCACCCCAAAATCACGTGCAGATCCCAGGGAAAACCCTGATTACACTTAGAGCTCCTGTGCTGGAAGTGGTGGGAAGCAGCTCCATGCTGCTGCCTCTTATTCCAAGGCAGATTTTTCACTCTGTTACAGAGATAGCTGAACTCATGATTTACACTCAATTCAGCTTCTTATTCACTCACACCAATTGTTCACTGCTTAAATTTGGGTGCTCCCGACAGACCCACACTGCTGTTCAAACCCCCTGAACAGTCCCACCTCTCTCAGCTTCTCCTTGTATAAAGGAGGAGAAGTTCCACTCCCTTAATCATCTTCTCAGCCCTCCTCTGACAAATGGAGCCTGCTGCAAGCACTGCAGTGAGCCCCACGAGAGCTGTGGGTGCCAGAGCACACCAACATGCCATATTGAGGGGACGTGGCACACAGATGGACCAGCCAGCTGCCAAGGGAAGGTACATCCTCCTCCTTCCCTTCCCCAGAAATCTGGGTTTTTCCACAGAATGATAATGGCTTCAGAAATAAAACAACCACCAGAAAGCCCAGGAACGATTAGATCACTTGGACAGAGACTGATGGGCTGAAGAAAACCGATGCCCACTAATTCAGCAGGAATCTTACATTTGAATATTAGGAGCTTTAACTGAGCAGCCCTTGGTTGAAACTTATCAAGCAAGAGACAGGTGGAATGAGACTTGTGGCAAACCTAAATCCAGCAGAAAGCCTGTGTAACGACCTCAGCACAAAGATTCCCTTAAGGAACAGCATTAAGGATGTTCAGCTGTATCTCCCAACAACCGGAGAGCTGTTGGAGACACCACGGCAAAACAAAAGCAGGAAGGCAGGCTGTAAACAAAACCACTCCTTCAAACAAAAAACGAGCTGTACAGAAAATCACCACCACAAACAAGCCTCCACCTTCCCCCCCCCCCCCAGCCTGGTTAGGGCCAGGCACTGGTAACCAAATGACTTCAAGGTCAATGTGTACTCGTGCAAGGAGGCAAACATACCTGTGTTTTTAGGCCCGTCGGCGTACACCGGTCCCGGAGGTGGAGGTGCATTCTGCCATCCGTACTGGGGGTATCCTTGGTAACCCGGCTGGCCCGGCTGGTAGGGCCCGGTCGGCCCGGGGGGGTACCCGGGGTAGGGGCCGGGGGGCCCGCCCGGCTGCTGTGCATAGGGCGGGTACGGGGCGGTGGGGCCCGGGCCGGGGTAAGGAGGAGGATTATCGTAGTTCATGTGGGATGCAGAGTCTGCCCTGCAGAGGGGAAACAAACAGGAGAACGGGTTTGCTTTGGCCTGCTCATCTGCGACCACCTGAGTCCCCTTCCAGACTGCTCTCCAGCAGGCCCTGTGTGGTGTGAGAAACAGACCTCAAAATACCTGGTCGGGCAGCACATTTATTTTTAACCCTATCCCAGGGGCAGAGAGCGAGTTGAAGTGATTTATTTAAGTGACATGAGTTCAGCTCCGCGGGAGTGACGCTGCTTCCCAGTCACGCATCACCTACTCACCCAAAGACCTAAGTCTTGCAACAGCAAAGTAACATCCTCTCCTTCCACTAATGATTAAAACACTTTTAAGGGAGATCTAGAAGCAATCACTTCATGTTTCTGTCAATATTAAAAAAGAAAAGCAGCCTGTTCCAGACATATTTGATAGCCTCAACAGGAGGAAGAGTGAACACAAATGTCCATTACATTTCTGCTAATTACTAAAGCATCCAGACCAGCACTCTGGAGCAAGGCTGTATGTGAATAACTTCCTGATGACACTACCCCAGCACATCGTGTATTCTCCCAATCACACACAACTGAGTCATTAAGCAGCCACAAGGAATCAGGGCCTCGGGCTCAGCCTCATTCAAAAAGCAACATTAAAGACACCTCAGAGAGTTGATACTCATAAACCCCACCTCACGTATTACTCATGACACAGCCATCAAAAGACAAGACTGTCACAATAACACAACTTTAATGAACCTCTAAGCAGCGTGACTAAGCAAACCACTTCTTACATTAGGCTTCTGGAGTTCTCCCTGTCTGAGAAACAGAAGTGTATATTAATATACCACGTGTTCAGGAACCTTCTTGCCTGGAGCAGCTGTACCCTGCCATTTCCTTCCCCTATTACAGGGTGCAGACGGGTCACCAAAATTCCCCTTTGCTGCACACCTCCTCCCACACGCCACAGGGAGGAATACCAGGAGTATAATTTGCCTCCACTGAGACTCCAGTGCTGCTGGAATGGAGTGGGAGAGGCTTGGCCAGCAGGATCCTCTTTGGATGGGTGTTGGGAAGGCAAGCAGCGGGGTCAGGCTGACCTGACTGCTCAGCAGAGTGCTCCCACTCCCAGGACAGGCAGGTTTGAGCCCAGGGAGACCATCAGCACACCCAGGCGAGCCCTGGCTGATGCAGAGTGAAGAATTTCACCTTTGTAACGCCTCAGGAGCCCAGTGTGGCAGGAGCCAGGCAGGCCCAGCCCCTGGGGTTATGTTTAGCTGCAGCAGCCCTGGCAGTGTGGAGGGAGCTGTTTGTTTACAGCTCGCTGTTTCATCACCTCACAGCACCGGCTGTGCCTCCCCAAGGAAGGATCCCGAGGCTCTCCCTTGTTTATTTACACGTTGCTCCTGCAGCACCACAAGGCTCTCCCACACAGAGCCAGGAACAGCTCGACTCCAATGGCTCCAGAGGCCACTCCAAGGGAACAGGGCTGCTGTCCCTCCCAGGAGGGCACAGAGAAGCCCTCGAGGCTCAAAGGCTGCAATGTCACTCACCTGAGTTCATTCTAAGGCTCTTGCCCTGCAATCCGGGCACAGTCACAGAATCACAGAATGTGCTGAGTTGGAAGGGACCCACAAGGATCATCAGATCCAACTCCTGGTCCTGCCCAGGACACCCCAACAATCCCACCCTGTCCTTGAGAGTGTTGTCCAAACGCTCCTTGAGCTCTGGCAGCCTTGGGGCTGTGCCCTCTGCCCTGGGGAGCCTGTTCAGTGCCAACCACCCTCTGGGGGAAGAACTTTTTCCTGAGATCCAACCTAAACCTCCCCTGACACAGCTCCAGCCATTCCCTGGGGTCCTGTCCCTGGTCACTACAGAGAAGAGATCAGTGCCTGCCCCTCCCCAGAAAGTTGTCCCATCTTACTGCTAAGGCAGTGCTGTACCCTGCAGATTATATCTTTCAATGTCTTTGTCAAGACCTTCAATTGCTTAACCAATGCCAGGGATTAGAGGAATTTTATTTATGGGGTTTTTTTCCACTGCCAGGCCAGCCAGACCACTTAACTGCTCACTTAAAACAGACACGTACAACATACATTTACCTGGAGGCTCTTTAACCACTGCACTGCGATGCAATGTCCCTACCAAGTCTCCAGCAAGGAAATTCTCCCTTCAGGGAGCCTGGGAAAGGCAGGCAGCAAGCCCTTCAGTGCAACCAATACAGAATTGGGACATGATGGGTCACTAATGTTCATCTAACCCAGAAAATCATCCCAAAATAGCACTGAAAAGCAAGTTCCCAGGGAAGAACAAGGCCAGAGCGAGTGTGTATGTGAATACTACATACCACTGCACGTGGTAGAGTAACCATTTGGTGCCCAGACATGGCCCAGGCAACCCCCTGGTTTGCTCAGCCTCCCTGAGCTGGTGCACTGCTGCTGTGCCTGCTCCTGGCACGGGGTGACCCAAGGCACTGCTTCCTGCCTTGTGGAAAACTGCCTCCTGCCCCACAGGGTGACTGCAGGAGGCAGGGATCAGCAGTCACCCTCCCGAATTTAGGGATGCACCAAACCAGGCAGGTGGCATGTGGTAATTCCCCACTTCAGAAGAGTGCAAGTTTGCACCCTAGGTACACATATATGTGTATATATATATATATATGGCATATATAAGGCATGATTTTTTTTTTCATAAGCCTTAAGAACTCTCTGGGCTCAGCTTGCTTTGATGATCACTGCCAAGCTCCAGCACATGGATTACTTTAGTTTTCCAAAGCCCTTCTACCTAAGAGGACAGTCAGCTCAGCCCAGCCTTTCCAGTGAAGTTCAGTCTTCCCTTCTATCCCTTCATATGCATCAATTAATTTATCTGCACTCAATATCATTGGTATTTGGGTGCCTACAGCCACGGGGATGAGTAAAGAAAACTGCACATCAGCAACTCTGCAGAAAGTCTGAGAAAAACAGACAGAATGAGTTAACCCAATGGCTTCAGCAACCAGGGGAATGGCAGCATAGGAAACAAGAAGGAACTACTGGTGCTCTCTGTTTAACAGCTCCATGTCAAAACAGTTTCTGAAGAGGAGGCAGGTTTGGAGTGGAGGCAGTAACTGAGCTTCTGCCTGCTGATATGGGACAGGGACTCAGGGAAGAACTGGCCAGGGCCTGCTAACAGCTGGACAGATGCTTGGGCAGAGACCTCAGAGAAACAACACAACAGTGGAAAACACAAATTAAGAAGGGCATATTTCACTGGGGCAAAAACTCTCCTCCTCAAAGCTGAGGGTAAAGTAACACAAGCGAGATTAGGCAAGATGTAAAAGAAGGGGTCCAGCAAGAACACTTCCAGCAGCCACTGTACTGGACATTTGTCTGTGATGAGTGAGAAAACTCCTGAAGAATTTGTCGAGGTGTTCAGCAAGCCCAGGAGGTATTTGTGGAATTAAGGTTCTCACAAAGAATCTTTCCTTGTCCCCCACTTCCACTGTCAGTCATTGCTAAACATATACCCATCTCTACTTGCCCTTTTTGAACTGTGTGACAATATTGAGATTTTTGTCACTCTTAGGAACTCGTACATGACATTACATGCTTTCCAGCCTTATTTCCCCATCTGGGTATGTGTTTGGAAGGTAGAGCTCTGAATCACAAAGCAGATACTTTGCAGACACACCTGAGCTCTTAGTCAAACATATCACCAAAGCTTTCCTGAGGGTTCTCACCCCAATTAGTAATTCCATGTGAACTGCAGCCAGGATCAACCCCTACAAGTTTGCATCAGGGTTCATTTCTCTGGGTTTCCCAATGAGCACCTCTCAGAGACAAAGCTCAAAAGAACAAAGCCAACCATCAGTAAAGCCCTTTGTTTTCCATGGTGCTGCAGGAGGTCCAGCAGGAAGAGCTGGGAGAGTCTCACTAGTGCTGAACTCAACAGTCCCTGCACAGCCTCACTCCTGCTAAACTTCATTCAGCACTGAACTCTGCAAACAGAGATTTCCTTGACTGTCACTGAGCATTTGCAGTGTCTGCTGGTGGTTAACAACAGAGAAATTGCTAAAAAGAATGGCAAACCATGTTCCTATTCCTTCCTCCCCTCCCTGCATTAGTAGTTTTCCTAAGGGGTAAGTTCATTAATATACCATTGTTTCCTTAAGCTATCTTCAAACTCCTTTGTTCCACACCGCTGGGCAAACATTATTTCCCCTACCCCAACAGAAAGGTTTCATTTTTAAACAAGCTGCTTATCAGACCCCAGAGCTCACCCATAAGGTCTGCAAAACAGGAGTCACTGAAGTACAATATATCACGTAGAGAATGCACATGGCACTCTATGTGCATGTACACACTGAGGTATCAATAGCCAAGAACCACAATTCTGTGTGAGATTATCAGTCTTTCTACGTGTGTAACCTGGCTTTGGCTAAGGCTTAGCAAAAGGTGCAAGTACACAACTATAATGCTTTGCATACGCTGTGTATATATATTATATATAATGTATATACATATAATGATGTAATTTGTTTCTCTTAAGGATTGGTTGCCAAAATGGACAGGTTAAATTATATATTATATATATATATATATAATTTAACCTGTCCATTTTGGCAACCAATCCTTAGAGAAACAAATTTCATCGTTAAGCTTTGAAAACATCTCCTTCTTTCTGGTTGCTTCACACTTACTGCCTTGTACAAGGCCAGCAAACCAAGGCAGCTGCTACAGAAGTAGTCAGTCACTGCTCCTGACTCTCCTCTTCCAGCACAGTCATGAATTTATTCTCTTTTTTCTTTTCTCCAGGCCTTTCTTCCCAGCTGAGGACACTGCTTCAACTCTGCTCTGTTCCTCGGGCAATCTTTCCACCCATCACTGTGCCTTTGGTGTCACTGTTTGTCTGGTTTGGAGTGAGCAGCACTGCCTTCCACCCCTTTCCTAGCCCATTCCCATCCACCAAGCCAAAAAACAGAGCTCAAGCTGCCCCATACCAATTGTAACTGCAAGATCCTTCCAAGTGGGAATGGCTCCTGTGGAGCCTGTCA